GAGGGAGGGAGGGAGGGAGGGAGGAAAAGAAAGCATATAGATGGGGAGACAGGAAAGAAAGAAAGGGGAGAGAGGGAGGTAGGGGAAAGGGGAGATGGAAAGGGGAGGGAGAAGAGAGATGGAAAAAAGCAAATGGGGAAGGAAGGAGGGAACAAAGGAAGGAAGGACGGAAGGATGGGGAGAGAGGAAAGAAGGGAGAGAGGGAGGGGAGAGATAGAAAGCAAATGGGGAAGGAAGGAGGGAACAAAGGAAAGAAGGACGGAAAGAAGGGAGGGAGGGAAAGCAAATAGATGAGGAGACAGGAAAGAAAGAAAGGAGAGCGGGGGAGATGGAAAGAAAGCAAATAGATGGGGGCAGAGAAGTGAAAGACAGAAGGGAAGGGAAGAAAGAAAGGAGAGTCAGGATGCAAGGGAAGTAGGCTGGAGGGGTGGGGGAGCAGCTCCCCAGCCTCTCCTCGCTTCCAGCTCTCACAAACCTCAACAGAGAGAAAGAGATGAAAAAAAGAAAAGGACAGAAAGAGAGAGAAAGTCCCCCTCTCTGCACTGACTGTAGGAGAAAGTGAGCCCCAGGATCTTTTGTGCCACTGGAACAACGCACTCCCCGTGGCACAAAAGCTCCCGGGGCTGGCTGTCTCCTGCAGCCCAGCTTAAAGCACAGGAGGAGGAAGCCAGCCACTCGCTACTGACAGCGCTGGCAACAGAGGCTGGCCCACCACTCTCCCCTCCCAACCTCCTCGCATGGCTGCCCAAGGCAAGCCTCCTGGGAAGCGGGAAAAGAACAGCAGCGTGAGGCCACAGGAAGGGTGCCCGGCTGCCCAGCCTCCCCCCCGTATGGCTGCCCAAGGCAAGCCCCAGACCGGCTGCGACCTCCATAGCCTGCAGGGAGAAAGCCTCCCAGCCGGCTACAGAGGGGAGCAGTGGCACAGTGGGTATATCCGATAAAAAATAAAATATAAAATAAAAAAAAAGGCTACGGCCAGCCTGAGTGCTCTCTGCCCACCCCCGAAAACATCCCCCCACCTTCGCTGGAGCCCCAGGCCAGCTCCTTACCACTCTGCACGGGAAAGCAGCAAAACCATGTGCAGCCCCCACCTCCTCCAGACCCAACTGAGGGCTTCTGGGGGCTGGGGGTGGGGCTTAGCTTCCAGAAAGCAAGCCCCTCCCAACCCACCTGAAGTCTCAGAAAGCGGAGGGAAAAACCCCTCCGCTTTCAAAATGGGGTGGGGGCGCAGGGTGGGGGCGGTTTGGTGCAGTGGTTAAGTGTGCGGACTCTAATCTGGGAGAACTGTGTTTGATTCCCCACTCCTCCACTTGCATCTGCTGGATGACCTTGGGTCAGTCACAAGCTCTGGCACAGCTGTCCTTGAAAAAGAGCAGTTTGTGTCAGAGCTCTCTCAGCCCTACCCACCTCACAGGGTGTCTGTTGTGGGGAGGGGAAGGGAAAGGAGTTTGTAAGCCGCTCTGAGACACCAGGTGAAGGGCGGGGTATAAATCCAATCTCTTCTTCTTGTGAGGTGCAGTTTGGCCACCCGTGGCTTAGAGGGAATGCTGGCTGGCACTGGTTGCCCTGAGGGAGGGCTCAGTCTTCCCTGGAAAATTTGGGGGCCAGCCCCCAAGCCCCCCTGTAGTTTACGCCTATGCTGGAGGGTGCTGTGATTTCTCCCAGGCACCTAAAGAATCGTCATGTCTTGACTGTTGCCCCTTATTTATACCTTTGCCCTAAGACCTCATTGATCCCGGCCGATGTTACTTCTTCTATCAAAAATAAACCAACCCATTTCTCTGGAGTGTCTATAGCCTTTAATGAGGATCCAACTTCCCTCCCTTCTTCACCATCAGTGGAATGGTACAATGTATTTTTGGGGCCTCTTAAGGCCAAACGAGGTGAGAATAGATCCCCTGAGCAGTTTTTAATTGGTAAATAGCAGCTGGAGGAAGGGCCTGAGATGTAGTTGGGGGCAGCCGTAACATGGTCCTTATACCATTTCCAGGAACTCAAACAGGCCTCTTGGAGAGGTCCCCATCACCCCATAGGGAAACATGTAGGCAACCTGTATCGCACCCTCCCTCACTGGGGCCAATGGCAGCTCTTGGTCCAATTAGGCTCAGGAAAACAACCCAGAGGAAGAAGGCTGATGCCCTCTCCCCATCGTGGTATAGCCCCAATCCGAACCAGCCCCGCCCAACCCAGAGCTGCTATTCACCAGTGCAAAAGTGATGCCGGGAACTATTCAAGGACCTTATAGCATCTGGTGTTATCTGAGTCTCTTGGCTGTTTCCTCTTCCTTGTCCTTTAATTCCATTTGGCTCCCACTGAGAAGTTTCTGAATGATCAACCAAAGTTCTACCACTGCTGATTCCAGTATTCATGATTTGGGCTCGCAGCTGTTGCAGAGGGACACAGCTGCACGCAAATACACTCGACGGCCACCACCATTGAACAGTCACAGCAAAGTTCTGTGCCCTCGGACCCGGAATTTCTCGGAGGCATCCACCAGCCGTCAGAATGGCGGTGCTGCCGGCGTGCCAGAGCAGGAAAGTTGCCTCGGGCAGTTTTGACTTCTGGAGGAGCTGGAAGGGCCCGCGGAGAAAGACGAAGGGGCACCGTCCCATCCCCTCTATCCCGCCTGTGCTCATGTGGTGTGCTCTTCTACCCACTGGCAAAGCCTCCTGGCGTAATGGGAGGGGCCAACAGTGGAGAAACTCTGTCCTCGATACCGGATGCTTTTCCAGAAATGCTCCAACTTCTTGCGGAAGCTGTACACTGTGAAGAGGTCGATGACGCCCACAAAGTAGCGAAATTTGGGCCCGTCGATTACATGCAAGGGATTCCTGGAATTAGGCAGGAGACGCCGGTTCTGTGCCAAGCGCAGGCAGGAGTCGGCAAGGCTCCCCAGGTTGGCATCGATCTCGGAGCCAGCCATGGGGAACTGCTCACAGCTGCTTGCCTGCGTCAGGTAAGTGATCAGGGCCTCCTGGAAGAAGTCACTTTGATCGGCAAGCGACGCCGCACCCATGTCAAAGTTGGATTTCTGCAACATGTAAATAAATTCGTGCAAACTGCTTCCAGTATTCATCTGGTCGAGGCTGGAGGCATTCTGCATGTCGGAAGAGAAGCAAGCCAGTTCGCTGGGTTCGGCGGCTCCGTGGATAAGGGAGCTACAAGGGATGATCGACCTGTGGGGAGGAACCAACAAAATCCACAGAGCAGTGAGAAGGGAAAGGAAGGGAGGCCTGGCGATACAACACCTCCACTACATATGGAAGGCCACAGGTTCAGTCCCTGGCATCTCCACTTAAGAAGGATCTCAGTCCTGGCAAAGACCTTGGAGAGCACAGACAGAATCTACTGGGTCGAGGTTTATGGAGACCCCCCGTAGGGATTTTCAAGGCAAGAGACATTGAGAGGTGGTTTGCCATTGCCTGCCTCTGCGTGGCGACCCCGGACTTTCTTGTTGGTCTCCCATCCAAGTACTAAGCAGGGCCAACCCTGATTAGCTTCTGAGATCTGATAAGACTGAGCTAGCCCCGGCCCCTCGAGGTCAGGGTGTTTTTGAAGACCGCTCTTTGTTATTTGTTGTCTTAACAACCTGAGCTTCCTTTGGATTTCCAGGAGTGACCCAGACTGTTCGGTCTTTATTTCAGCCCACAAACCATTGTTGGAGGACAGGATCACAGACACCGTGGACCCCGCAGCCCCACCCCGAAAAGGCAAATCAGTGGGTTCTACATCTGGGCTATCCTGGTCAGATTAGACCTTTCTAAAATTAAATGGGGGGGGGGGAGGTCCGACTTGATATATGGCAGCATTGCTTGCTGGAATGTTGGATATTTTATTATGGACTCTTAATTAGCTCAGCTGGAGGGAAGGGGAGAGACAGGATATTGCTTTCAATGAATAAAGGGGACGCTCCTCCGTTTTCAGACGAATCGCTACAGCCGCAGGTCTTCCACCCTGGCTTGCCATCATGGGCTAGAGTGCAGATCGCTTCTCGTCAGGCAGAGATGGAAGACTCCGACGAGGAGTGGGTGGAGCCCCTGACAATTCCACAGAAGGAGGCAGCAGAGGTACCTCCAGGAACCAGCCCCCTCCCCTTTGATGTGCGATAGGAGCCCCCCCACACACACACACCGGAGCCTGAGTCCATCTTCTCAGCTTGTCGTTGATCTAGGGAGGGGCCGTGGCACAGTGGGAGAGCACCTGTTTAGCACGCAGAAGGTCTCAGGTTCAGTTCCTGGCATCTCCAGGACAAGGCAGCAGGTGATATGAAAGACCTCCACCTAAGACGCTAGTGAGGTGCTGCCAGTCTGAGTAAACCATACTGACTCCACACAGGGCCTGTAAGACGAAGCCCTTCCACCAGGCTTTTCGGTGAGGCACAGCAGATGTCAAATATCATCTGGCCCTTCCTGTTACCTCCCCGTCACTAACTTCACGGTCTTCCGTTTTCAAGGACACAGAATGAGAGTCGCCTCGGTTTACCCAAGGCAGGGCACTTACAATCTGGAATCTCTTTTTCGGATCTAGCCCCTTTCTGCCTTTAATTGCCTAACGCCAGGGCACCCTTGTCATAGTTGTGAGGCAGTTTGATGGCCGCCGTTTTCAATTGCCTAATGCCAGGGCACCCTTGTCATAGTTGTGAGCAGGGGTCATTTCGTAGAAAAAGAGCTAGGGGAACTCATTAGCATAACTCATTAGCATATGCCACACCCCCTGACATCAGGGGCCCGGCGGTGGACCTGCAAGGCCAGCGGGAGTGCGAGGAAGCCCCGCCAAGGCCCTCCCTGGCCCCAGGCAGGGAGGGGTGGGGAGAGGCGGGGAGGAAGCAACTTACCCTCCCTCTTCTCTTGCCTCCTCCTGGCTGAATGAGGGCCGGAAGCGGGGCGGCTGGAAGCAGGGGGCGGGGCTTCGTCATGTGCCCCGCCCCCGCCCCTCACCCGGGGGAACTGTGTTCCCCTGCGTTCCCCCCCGAAATGACCTCTGGTTGTGAGGCAGTTTGATGGCCGCCGTTTAAGGGTTACGTTGATCGTTTTAATCTTGATTTTATTGTTTTATGTTAATGTGGCGACTTGCCCTGAGACCGCTTGTGGGAAGGGCGGGATGGAAATCGAACAGAATAAATAAATAAATGAATTGATAGACCAAGGGTCCGATTCAGTATAAGGCAGCTTCACGTGATGCCCACCTATGAGTTCCATGTGATGCCCACAGGCGACACAGCTCTGCCTTCTGACTTGGATCCCCGAAACCTCCCACTTCAGGTGCTACAGTGGGGCCCTGGTGTCTCTCCCCAGGAAGAGCCAGGGTTGCCAACTCCAGCTTGGGAAATGCCTGGACGTTTGGGGGTGCCCCCCGCAGAGGCCGGAGTTTGGGAAGGGAGCCCGGCGGGGATGTGATTCCACCCTCCGAAGCCGCCGCTTCCTCCCGGGGAACCGATTCCTGCAGTCTGGCGGACCTGCTGTCATTCCGGGAGACCGCCGAGCCCCACCCGGAGGCCGGCAACCCCGCCCGAGACATCCTTGCTTAGAGGGCTCACCTTTTTGTCCTGGCAATGATGTTGGCCAAGGTCCGGTTCATGGCCTGCTCGTCCTCGTGGAGGGGCTGAAACGCCACCAGGAGGCTGTAGTCCATCACGGCCAGCTCCCGGAGGAACTGCGTGTCCAGCTCCACTTGGCGCACGAACCAGGCGCGCTGCTCGTCTGGCAAGCAAGAGAGCACATTGGCGGCGATGTGGCAAGAGCAGAGGGCGGGGGAAACTGACTTAAGGATCGGTGGCCGAGACACCACGCGCCCTTAGCTCACTCCAGACACCAGCGGTGCAGGAGGAGAGCGGCTGGTTCTGCATCTGGCATCCGCTCCACATTTTGGCAAGTCTGCACTGGCTTTTCCCTCCGTTGTCTTACGGAACCCACGTTGGAACAGGAATTCCCCTCTGCCTGGCACGCCGCTTTCGCTTCCTTTGATCATCGGGTTTTGTGGTACCTTCTGCATAGATTTATGCAGGGGTCATTTTGTAGGAAAAGAGGTGCAGGGGGTCATTAGCATAACTCATTAGCATAACTCAATTAGCATAACTTATTTGCATATGCCACACACCCCTGACATCACCGGAAGTGTGTCAGATGGCAACACCCACCGCTCAGGCTCCACCGGACTGTTTTGGATTGCTAGCTATGGGGGGAGGGGGAGAGAAACGTGCTGATCTGTCCTCGCAGAGGAGGGAGAGCTTGTACCTGAATAAAACTTGGTCTTAAAGGTGCCACTGGATTGTTTTGGGCTGGGGGGGGGGCTCTGCAGCTTACCTGGCTGCTTCTTGCTCTGACTGAGGGCTGCTGGGAGCAGGGGGTGGGGCTTGTTGCATGTGCCCGCCCCCTGGGCTCTTTACTGCTGGAGCTCCGCTCCTGTGCGCTCCTGCAGGAAATGACCCCTGGATTTATGACCGTTCAGGGGTGACTTTGCAGTCAGTACGGCGTCGCCCCGGGGTATTTGAATGTGGTTTTTGAGCTGCACCTTTTTCTCCCTGTTGAGAAAATGTGGAGTGAATGCCAGATGCAGGCTCACCCACTGAGGAAAAGGTACAGCTCAAAACCACATTCAAATACCCTAAGCCAATTTATGGCCGTTCAGGGGCACAAGGATTTGACTGCTTCCTGTGTTCCCCTATCCCCAGCAGCCCTTTCAGATCCCAGGAAAGTCAAATCCTGGGGTTGTGCAATCCATGGGGAACCATGTGGGTCAGGAGGCTGCTCAGAGGAGGGGAAAGGGGGGATGACTGCCCTGCCCTCTCCTGTCTCTGCAGTTCCCCTGCCAGCTAAGCGGGAAGGGTAGTCGTTTGGCCTCTTCCCCCTCCTCAGCACAGTCCTGGAGCACACACGGCTGCTAGTCCACAAAGGTTCCACAGTCAACCTTCCCAGTACTGGAAGAGACTGTTCAGGCTGAGAGGGGTAGGGGAAAGATCCATAATAACCAGGGGTCATTTCCTACCGGAGCACCTCGGAGCGGCGCTCCAGCAGAAACGAGCCCAGGCCCTGCCCCCCAGGGGGGAATTAAATCATAGAATCATAGAATGTTAGAGTTGGAAGGGACTTTGCAGGTAATCTAGTCCAACCCCCTGCACTCTGCAGGAGCATAGCCGAAAGAGAGCCCTACAACATACCCGGAAGATGGTTGTCCAGCCTCCGCTTGAAAACGTCCAGCGAAGGAGACTCCACTACCTCCCGAGGCAGTCTGTTCCACTGCTCAACCACTCTTACAGTTAGGAAGTTTCTCCTGATATTTAGCCGGTAATGACTCCCTTGTAATTTCCACCCATTAGATCTAGTCTTGCAATCCGGAGCAAGAGAGAATAGATCGGCTCCATCTTCTGCATGACAGCCCTTCAAATACTTGAAGACTGCAATCATGTCCCCTCTAAGTCTTCTCTTTCCCATGCTAAACATACCCAACTCTTTCAGCCTTTCCTCATAAGACTTGAATTCCAAGCCTCTCACCATCCTGGCTGCCCTCTCCTGGATACGCTCGAGCTTGTCAACATCCTTCCTAAAATGTGGTGCCGAAAACTGGACACAGTAGTCCAGGTGAGGCCTGACCCTAGCAGAATAGAGTGGAACTACCGCCTCCCGTGATCTGGACACAATGCTTCTGTTAATGCTCCCTAAGATGCCTGGCTTCCCAGCCCAGTCTTTTCCAGGTGCCCCAGAGCCACAGGGCACCTAGAGAAGATCGGGCAGGGAAGCCAGGCATGTCTCCCCACCTCCCCTTCCTTCCACGGTGGGCTGGCTGGAGAAGGAAGGGGAGGCGGGGAGACACGCCCTCCTTTCCCCCTGAGCCTCTCCACTTTTGCAGAGAGACGGGGGGGGATTTAAATGCATGGCTTCTTGCCAAGGTGGGCTGGGCGGGGAAGTGAAGCGAGATGGGATTTAAAGTTTAAACCCCTTCTCTCTAGAGTCACGCAGCAGCAGCAGCACAATCTTTCCATTGTATTCTATGGGGCCTTAGAATACAATGGAAAGATCCTGCCCCCCCAAGCAGGAGGCGGAAAGGGCAGCTTGAAGGAAGCGGATTACGATGGAGTGTGTGGTGGACTAGCAAGAAAACGATAAATCACCAGATTTATGGAGAACTTTTAAACTTTCCTTTTGTGTAAACAATGACACAGCAAGCAGAATAAATGGCGTTGAAAACGAAACTTATAACAGGAACGGCCAGCACATCATCGCCGGCTACCAGACCGGAAGCGACCATAGACTTTCCCAAACTGATTTCTGCAGCTTTTCGCCCTCTACTGGACGAGATGACCACTTTAGCGACAAGCTGTATACATTGCAAAAGGAACTCAAAATTTCAGTGAGAAAGAAATAAAGTGAATGTTCCTGAAGCAACAACAGAAAGGGACCTGAGAAAGTGGAGGAGAATAAAGATGCAGAAGAAGAAGAGGGAGAAGGATGGGAAAGACTCTGATATTAATTCGATCACTCTGGCAAAACTCTTTGATTTTGAAGCAGAACTAGGGGTTCCTACCCCTAAAGCATTTCTTTCCCCATAAACTTGGGGATGTGTATGCCTGTACATGCTCAGAAACACGGTTTCCTTTATTGTTGCATCACATGTCCCACTACTGGGCTTGGAGTGTCGGTCGTTTCTGGACTGGCCGGAAAAGGCTGTTCCCAGAATGATCCATTCCGCACGAGGGAGAGGGGAGGAGGAAGAACCTACCGAGGCAGAGGGTCTTTCCTTCAAAGTTGAGATCCTTGAAAACCATGATTATCTGACTGCCTTCCGGGGCTGCCTCTACCCAGCGGTCGAGTTGACAGCCTTTGATATCATACCTGCAAGTTGGGGGGAGGGGAGGAAAGAGGAAGAGGGGTTAATCCCAAACAGCCGCTGGGTCTTTCAGTGCAGTCTCCTGGCCCACCTGCCTCACAATGGCAAGCGAGAAAGCAAAACAGGACTATGATCCTTCCACGCAAATATCCAGCAACTCAAGGTAAGGGCTCTGTTAGAACTGGCATCCACAAAGGGCCTTGCTAGGCATGACGACAGCGGGCCCATGCTTTAGATCTGGGGTGTCAAACATGCGGCCCGGGGGCCGGATCAGGCCCCTGGAGGGCTTCTGTCAGGCCCGCAGTGGAACCGGCTGTCTTCTCCTTCTTCTTCCAGTTCCGCTGCTGCTGCATCACCGTAGGTCTGCAGCTGACAGAGACACACCTGAACAGCAGACTCGAGACTGCAACAGCACAGACATTTCGATGTAATAATTCAGAGCAAGAGGTGTCAGTGATCAGACACTGCTAAATAAAGAAAATACTGCAAGAGTGCTAATGTTTTAAGCATGTTTTTATTTTAAGTTAAAAAAAAACCCCTTTGTGTTTGTGTCCTTTATAAAGTTTATATCTCCGCTACCTGGCGTTACATTTTATGACACATGTGGCCTGGCCCAACAAGGTCTCATTTATGTCAGATCTGGCCCTCATAATAAATGAGTTCAGCACCCTGCTTTAGATCAAGGGGATCTCAAGCAGAAAAGGAGCAGGCGGGGTGGTGCTGATTCTTTGCCTCGACCTGGATCCTACTCCCAACCCCTTTTTCCCAGCTGCTTTTCACCCGGTAATGCTTCAAAGTAGAAGTAAGACCCACTCTCGGGGGGAGGGGAGAATTGTGGGGGAGAAAGGGGGCAGATTTCAGCGTTTCTTCCAGTGCTTTTCAGGGTGAAATAATTCCTGCCCTATAACCCATTTCCAACCAGTCTGGCACAGCGTGCATTCTAACACAGGGGTCACACCACCATCACTGCTAGCCTCAAAAGTCTGGACTAGGTTTCTTCATGTCAAAAGTCTTATGTGTGGTGGCCGTGGAAAACCACTGCAGAAATCTTTGGTCTCCTTCCTTTTGTGCCTGGTTTCCCATGGGTACCAAAGGCACATGGAGAGAGCCCTGCCCCACAGACCTTAAAGAACGGGAGGAAGAACTGCATCCTGGGTAAGCCGTTTCACAAGATGGATGCTGTCCAAGTGCAACTGCACCCTCTACAGCCCCCTGCAGCTGCCACAAGTGACCATCCTTACATTTATTTATTTATTTATTTATTTATTTATTTATGCTTTCGACTTGTATCCCGCTCGAACCCCCGGGGGGTCTCTGAGCGGCTTACACAATTTCATTTATCCCTATCTATGGCCACATCGTCAGGGCCATACATCGTGGCCTTGGCCCATAGCTACAGTGGGGCATCTCAGGGCCCCACCCCCTTAATTTACAGCCATGCCCCACAAGAGGCAAGACTGGGGATTCGTATGGTGAAGGAAACAGGTGGCTTGGTTGCTTGGAGGGTAGGGAGGATTCATAGGGTTCTAATTCTTAAGCAATAGACCAATTCTTAAGCAATACATCGGGACCACACAGCGTAGCATTCAGACAAGAATAAAAGAACATGAAAGACACTGCAGACTTGGCCAACCTGAACAATCAGCAGTGGCTGAACATAGCCTAACTCCAACAGGACACAGTATTTTGTTCCAAGACACTGGAAGGCTGGACAACACTTTCAATTACCATGTCAGATTACACAGGGAAGCCATTGAAATTCACAAACATAAACATAATTTCTACAGGAAAGAAGAGAGTTTAAAAATAAATAGGGCATGGTTTCCTGTCCTGAAAAACACAAAAGGCTCTACATCTGACAATAGAGCCAATGGGGAATTAGCCCGGGAAAAGTAGCTTCTATTGTGATACAGATTGGTTGTTTGTTTCAGGTGACTTCCTTTCTAGGGGTCGAGAAGAAGGACAGATTCTCCATTACCTGTGTGTTAGTGTTGGACTATAGGCAGCTTAGAAAATGTAGCTGTTAGATGTTCTGTTTATTTGTAGTTTCCCTGTGTACCTTTACCCTTAGAAATAAAGGTTTTTAAAAGCAAAGAAATCTCTTCTTTCCAATAGAGCAAGATCCATTGATACTCTGAGTAATTTAAATACTTTTGACTATTTTTACAAGAACCTCCTCAGGAAAGCTCCTCCATTAGCATGTTCATAGCCTGGGGAACTCATACAAGATAATAACTCAGCCCTACCCCACCTTTCTGAGAAGATATAAATTACCTGCCTACCATTTTTCTTCACACCTTGACACAGAGAGTACTCCATCTTTCTGTGTTATACCTGGTGAAACGTCAGGTTCTACAATGCCAAGACCACGGCCACACAACCTGGAAAATCTACAGCAACTAATAGACCAGTGAATCCACCTTTGGAAGGTCTGGGAGGGGGACAGGGGTGCCAAGCTGGGTGGAGATGGGGGGGGGTGAAGCAGAAATTTAGATTTCTTTTGACACGCTGCGCCAACATTCAGCCTTGCGTGCTTCAGCAGCCTTGCATGTTATTTATGTATAACCTAGTTACTTCTGGCGTATTGATCACTTGCAGCATTGGTAAAAAGATAAAGGTAAAGGTTCCCTTGCTCGAAAGCCAGTCGAATCCGACTCTAGGGTTGCGGTGCTCATCTCCGTTTCCAAGCCGAAGAGCCAGCGCTGTCCGAAGACATTTCCGTGGTCATGTGGCCGGCATGACTAAACACCGAGGCGCACGGAACGCTGTTACCTTCCCACTGAAGTGGTACCTATTTTTCTACTTGCAATTTCTTGCTTTCGAACTGCTAGGTTGGCAGGAGCTGGAACTAGAGACGGGAGCTCACTCTGTCATGCGGCACACTCGGGTCTTGAACTGCTGAACTACCGACCTTCCATAGCCTGCAGTTCAGCGTCTTAACCACTTGAGCCACCGCAGCATTGGTACGGGTACATATATCCATAGATATCGCGTGTTATTTTCACAGAGCCCTTCACTCCCTCATAATGGTTGCCCCACAAGAAAGAAATATGCCCCACCAAAAAATCCAGGCTATGGGCCTGTCGTGGCCGGTCACTCACCGCTCGACAATCCTCTCGTGGGGGTAAAAGACACTCTGCATGATGATGAAATATCTCTACAGAGAAAAGAGGAAAATAAAACCAGTCTAGTTCTACTGACAGACAAGCCGAACATGCAGCTTCCTTCTGGCACGGTATGTCCCTCTCTCACACACACTAGCCTCGAAAAGACGTGCTGGAAAAACAAAAAGCAGTCCGCAGCAGTGTTCCCTCTAAGCTGAGTTAGTGTGAGCTAGCTCACAGTTTTTTAGCCTCTGGCTCACATATTTTTGTCCTAGCTCAGGCAGGATGGCTCCAGAGCAGACTAATTTATGCAGTAGCCAAATGGCTGGCTCACAACTTTAATGCCAGTAGCTCACAAAGAAGAATTCTTGCTCACAGGACTCCACAGCTTAGAGGGAACGTTGGTCCTCAGCATGCTGGAGAGGACTGTACCATGTTGTGATGCAAGTGGGTAATACCACATCAAAAAGCTGCCCCTTTGAAACGGGTCTCAGGGCAGATTTATCCTACCCGCTGCTACAATCATGTTCCCCCTCTCCCACAATGGCATGCTAAAGAAATAAAGTTTCGTGCCAAGGACAGGTGAATTGGTTAGCGTTTTTAAAATACACCGTTGGCAAAATTAAATCTGCTCGTCACAGGTAAGCATGCACATTAAAAAAAACTTCAGGACACTGAAGCTCTCTTTCACAGCATGTCTTTTTAAAGTATTGTCAGGATTCTTAGGGGAGGGGAAGTGGCTCAGTGGTAGATGCAGAAGGTCCCAGGTTCAGTACCCGGCATCTCCAGTTAAAAGAACCAGGCAGCTGGTGATGGGAAAGACCTCTGCCTGAGACCCTGGAGAGCCACGGAGAAGGGCTGTGACTTAGTGGTAGAGCCTCTGCTTGGCATGCAGAAGGTCCCAGGCTCAAGCCACGGCAGCAGGACACGGGGAGAGGAAAACAAACCTGACCCAAAAACTGGAATCAAGAGCCAAAAGGGTGAGAAGAAAGTCTAAACCAAGGGCCAATATTAAAAACCTAGTTGAAGAAGAAGAGATTGGAGTTATACCCCGCCCTTCACTTGGAGTCTCAGAGCGGCTGACAAACTCCTTTCCCTTCCCCTCCCCACAAGAGACACCCTGTGAGGTAGGCGGGGCTGAGAGAGCTCTGACACAAACTGCTCTTTTTCAAGGACAGCTGTGCCAGAGCTTGTGACTGACCCAAGGTCACATCAGCAGGTGCAAGTGGAGGAGTGGGGGAATCAAACCCGGTTCTCCCAGATTAGAGTCCCCACACTTAACCACGACACCAAACTGGCTCAAACTTATAATATACAAAAATACAAGTCTTTATTAGAAAGACAGCTAAAAACATACATAAGGGCCCAATGAAAGCCTCATTAAGTATATCCTAAACACAAGGGCCAATACACATGACCTGACGCGTTTCTGCCCTATTGAGGCCTTCTGTCTTTCTAATAAATACTTGTATTTTTGTATATTATAAGTTTTAACTAGGATTTTAATACTGGCCCTTCGTAGAGACTTTCTTCTCACCCTTTCGGTTCTTGATTCAAGCCCTGGCAGCTCCAGTTGAAAGGATGTGATGTGAAAGACCCTCCACCTGAGACCCTGGAAAGCGGCTGCCAGTCCGACGGACCCAGGGTCTGATTCTATATAAGGCAGCTTCATATGGGATATTATCTGAATCCTTGACGCTGGGGCAGGAAGGTGGGCTGGGGCAGAGAAGCCAAAAGAGGTATTCCCCCTTTCACTCGCACACAAGACAGAATGCCTCTTCTGAGGCGAGGCCTCCTTCGAAGAGGAGCTGCAGCTCAGAACTCAAGAACGCGAGGGCCTGGCCGTTCCATGGACGGAGCTCCTGTTTTCGAGAAAGATCAGACAAACGAGGCCACAATTGCAGGCGGGATCATAGTGCAAAGTGAGGGTATGTTAAGCTTCCCTCAAACGGTTTTCCCAAACTGTTCTGTGCCTCACTGAGACAAATACCCACCAGACTTTGCATATTTGCTGCCAACAAACAAACAAAAGATACCCACTGGTTTTACCACAGAGTTTTTGTAGATTCCAGTTCACATACTGACGTCACTTCTGTTTTTTACCAGAAGTGACGTCAGTGTGCCAGTGCATGCCTCATTTTCACCACCCAGTTTGGTGTCGTGGTTAAGTGCGCGGACTCTAATCTGGGAGACCCGGGTTTGATTCCCCACTCCTCCACTTGCACCTGGCTGGATGACCTTGGGCAAGCCATAGTTCTGATAAGAGCTGTTCTTGAAAAAAAGCTCTTTCTGACAAGAGCTCTCTCAGCCCCGCCTACCTCACACAGGGTGTCTGTTGTGGGGAGGGGAAGGGAGAGGAGTTTGTAAGCCGCTCTGAGACACCTTTGGGTAGTGAAGGGTATAAATCCAATCTCTTCTTCTTTTAATTGGAGCCCCCCAAACCTGATTTTTCAGGAGGGGGACCCAAACGTCCAGTGATGACTTGATCCCCCTAGTGAGGGAGCAGATGCTTAGTATGTTGGAACATTCCAAGATCAGACGGGTCATCTACGGCTAAAATATCTTAAGGGTTAACTAGGTGAGACACCAGAAAATGTAGGTTAAAAAACCCAAATTCCATGCACACCTACGTCAGCGTTACTACAGTGACTCTGAAAGATATACGGTCATTACCTAGCCAAGCACAGTCTTCTCCATGGACATTTCTCATGTGAAAGATGTCTTGGTGGACCCCTTAGGAAAGTTACCAAGCACTCCTCCCTAACAGACTACACACACTCTCCCCCCCCACCTAGGGATCCCAAGTCCCCCCGGAGGTCCGTTCCCCGGCGGCGCCGGATCGGGCCCCGGGGAGAACTCCACCTCGACGTGCGCATCACCCGGAAGTGATGCGTGCACGCCGGGCACGCTGGGGGCGGGGCCACGGCAATACAAGGGAAAACCATAGGGTTTCCTGGCGTCCTCCCGTCACATCCGGGTGACGTGCGTGTGGCGCACAGGACGCTGGCCGGGAGACCCCCGCTCCCGGCGAAGATAGACTTGGCAACCCTACCCCCACCCCCGCCTAAGGAATGCAATGGCAAACCGAGGGTAGCGATAAGAATGCAAGCAGTGTGACTCAAGACCCGGGAAATGCAATCAATTCAGCCCGCCTGTCCCTATTTCAGACGCCAGAGTTTGACACCTACCTTCTTCTCCTGGGGAACGATGATACTGTGGACCCCTGTTGGAAGGAAGGGAGGAAACAAGCAGGTGAGACCGGAAACCTTTTCAGCCTGACCCCCTGAAGGTAATTACGGTTTTAGGGTGTTTTCATTCATAAAGGGCCCTGCTGAATCAAACCAGGGGTCCATCCAGTCTACCATCTTGCTTCCCACGGTGCTCAGCCGGCCTAACTAGCAGGCCATGAAAGTGGGGTTGCCAACTTCCAGGTGGTAGCTGGGGATCTCCTGGGATTGCAAATGTCCTCCGGACAACAGAGATCAGAGCCCCTGAACAAAATGGCTGCGTGGGAAGATGGACTTGCTGAAGTCTAGGGCTGCCAAGCCGCGGCGGGGGATCCGTGCGTCTTCACAGGATCCCTGCCACCATCGCCAGGATGTGACGCTACGTGTCGCTCTGGCAACGGGACTCCGTTGAAGTCCCTCCCCTCCCCAAACCCCAACCTCCCCAGTCTCCACCCAGGAATTCCCCAACCCAGATGTGGCAATGCTACCAAGCCACAGTAGATTCAAAGATACTCTGTCCCTGAACAGAGCCAGTTTGGTGTCCTGGTTAAGTGCCCGGACTCTAATCTGGGAGAACCGGGTTTGATGCCCCACTCCTCCACTTGCACCTGGCTGGATGACCTTGGGCAAGCCATAGTTCTGATAAGAGCTGTTCTTGAAAAAGAGCAGTTTCTGTCAGAGCTCTCTCAGCCCCACCTACCTCCCAGGGTGTCTGTTGTGGGGAGGGGAAGGGAAAGGAGTTTGTGAGCCGCTCTGAGACACCTTTGGGTAGTGAAGGCTGGGGTATAAATCCAGTCTCCTCCTCCTCCTCCTCCTTCTGAACATGGGAGGTGACATTTCATCGTCATGGCTAACAGCCCAGGACACACTTCCACTCCTCCACTGATTTGTCCGGCCTCCTCCTAAAACCACCCAAGCTAGCAGCCAGATCTCCGCATCTTGTGCCAGCAAGGTCCATAAGACCATTACCTATTGTAAGAAGGAGGGTTGGTACTGCAGGGGCGGCTCCTTACCGAGGAATTTGACAAGAAGGGAGTGGGGGTATCGCTCCAGGTGCTCCAAGTATTTGGAAAGGTTCGAGAGGAGGAAATGGGTTTCTCGCTTGCTCTGGGTCTTCAGGAAGAAGCGTTTGTCCTTGCTGTGGGGAAGGAAGAGGGTTACCATGGGAGTGACTGTGGTGAGGTTCCTCACTCGGCCCAGTCCGCACACCGGCATGGACCCCATGTAAAGTTCCTGTGTCCAGTTCTAGACACTTCCCTAGCAATCATGCAAGTATTTACAGGGCATTGTGTCTCACTTTAGTGACTTTTCTCGGTCGTGTGCAACTAGTAAAGGATGGCAAGGCCAGGATTTAGTTCTCTCCTTACCCATGGACTCTGACCTGGACATCAGGTGTCAGAACCTAAGCAGGGTTGGCCCTGGTTAGTACTTGAATGGGAGACTACTGAGGAAGGGGACTGTACAGAATCATGGAAGATAAGTCTATCAACGGCCACTAGCCATGATGACTGAGGGCAACCTCTACATTCAGAGGCACTAAGCCTCTAAATCCCAGAGCCAGGAGGCAACATTGGGGGAAGGTCTTGCCCTCTGTGCCCTGTTCTTGGCCCCACAAAGGAACTGGCTGGACACTGTGAGACAGGATGCTGGACTAGATGGACCACTGGTCTGATCCAGCAGGGCACTTCTTATAGCCTTATGAAGTCCAGGGTTGCTATGCAGAGGCAGGCAATGGCAAACCACCTCTGTTCATCTCTTGGCTTCACCATACATTGGCTGTGACTACTCGAGGGCACTAAGAACATAAGAGACGCCAATGTTGGATCAGGCCAAAGACCCATCCAGTCCAACACTCTGTATCACACAGTGGCCAAAAATACCAGGTGCCATCAGGAGGTCCAGCAGTGGGGCCAGGACACTAGAAGCCCTCCCCCTGTTGACACCCCCCCCAAGCACCAAGAAGACAGAGCATCACTTGCCCCAGAGTCCCCATCTATACCTTGTGGCTAATACCCACTGATGGCTAATAGCCACTTTTCACCACGGCCTATGGACTCGTGATTTTGTTTTTTTCTTGCTGTTTAAAACAGAGACACCCACCCTTTTATAGAAGAATGTATGGAGTCTCTCTCTCTCTCTCTCTCTCTCTCTCTCTCACACACACACACACACACACACACACATACACACACACACACACATATTCCTGCCCTGGAGGAGTATCTCTTTGTGCCTCTTTACACTCCGGTTGCATATTTGTAGATAAATTAAATAGTATGGTTTTCTTATGCTGCATCTGTGATTTTAAAGCCCTCTTACTGCTGCTGTCAGTGGTTGTTATACTGAATTTTATGGCTGGTTTCATTTTAACGGCAGGCTGTGATTTGATGTTATGGCTGTTGTTTTGATGTAGTGTTTTAATTATTGATCTTATCCTGTCTTTTATTGGGGTTTTTTTGTGTCCCATTGGAAACTACTTCATGAGCCCCCTGGGTTAGGCCCACAGGCTATAAATTTGCAAATAGTAAACACATCAATCCAGGAAACAACTAGGAATGTACAGAAATGTGTTTTATTTTCATTCTCAAAGCCTTTTCATTTCACCCTTTCTTCGTTGCGGCCATTCCAGACCCTTTTTGTGCGTGTTTGTTTTTCTGTGCCATTTTTACGCGATGTATCTTTTATATACAACTGATGGGGAAAAGTTAAATGGGGAACATTTGGGCTCAAGGAAGCAGAAAGTAGTACGGAAAGAATGACTTGGGCATTCGGTCTGCACAAGGGGGAGGCAAAGCTACAAAATAGCAGGGATGAGAGATCTAAACCAGTCCTTAAACCTCTCTCTCCAGGACTGGTTATTGGTCCAAGCCACTCTACCATTGATTTGGGACAGCAAAAGGCACCACCACCGGGCACATTTCTCTCCCAGCCATCAGTAGCAGGGGGGAGATGGCTGGCCTGTTACTGGTGTTGCCAATCCCCAGGTGGGGATTGCAGTCTTCAAGTATTTGAAGGGCTGTCATGCAGAAGATGGAGCAGATCTATTCTCTCTTGCTCCGGACTGCAAGACTAGATCTAATGGGTGGAAATTACCAGGGAGTCGTTACCGGCTAAATATCAGGAGAGACTTCCTAACTGCAAGAGTGGTTGAGCAGTGGAACAGACTGCCTCGGGAGGTGGTGGAGGCTCCTTCGCTGGACGTTTTCAAGCGGAGGCTGGACGACCATCTTCCGGGTATGTTGTAGGGCTCTCTTTCGGCTATGCTCCTGCAGAGTGCAGGGGGTTGGACTAGATGACCTGCAAGGTCCCTTCCAGCTCTAACATTCTATGATCTCCTGGAATTACAACTGATCTGCAGACTTCAGAAATCAGTTCCCTCGCCCCAAATGGCTGCTTTGAAGAGGGGGGCTGTACCCCACTGAGGTCCCCCTCCCCAGCCCCGCCCTCCCCAGGCCCTACTCTCAAGTATCCAGCAATTTCCCAGGTGAAGTTGGCAACCCTAGCTCCTACCAGCCGGTTTGGACACAGCTGGCAGCAGCGGGGGGGGGGGGGGGCTGGGGGGCGGCCAGGAAGGCAGGGGTGTACCTTATCTGGGGAGGTAAAAATGCCTCAGACCAGCCGTGCCTCTCGCCACTGGGATAAACAACAAACCTGTCTGCGTTCCCGCGCCCCACGTGAGGACACACTTACGTGAGGAAAAAGTTGGCAGTGCTCTTTGAGTTGCTGATGAACTGCAGGTAGGCGCTCTCGCAGCTCAGAGACTGCTGGTAATCCCTGTCCGCCATGCCAAGGAACTGCCTGAACCTGGCAAAAGCGGGGCCTGCGTACGTCCTCATCTCGAAGCCCTGCAGCAATGCAGAACTGAGTCACGTAACCAGGGAGGAAAAGAGGGTTAACGGGGGTGTCCCAGAAGCCCCTGCAGTGGGAGGGAGGACCCAGACACAAAGCCCCTTCCTTGGGATGCCAACTGCCCTGCCCCCCCCCCTTTCTAGGGTTGCTAAGTCCTACCTTCGTAATAGCGGGGGGAGTCCCAGACGTCCCTGGGAGTCTCCTGGCGTGCGCACTTTGCGAGCATGCCGCAAGCACGTCACCCAGAAGTGACGCAATCGCGCCAGGCACGTTGGGGCGGGGCCACAATAATTCGATGGGAAACCATAGAGTTTTCCCTCAGATGATAGAGCGTCCCCCTAGGCTTGCCAAGTCCCCCCGGGGGGCGGGGAAACCCCCGCCCCAGAGGCCCGTTCCCCGCTGCTGGCGGATCGGGCCCCGGGGGGAACCCCACATCCCAAAGTACGTGACGTGCATGTCACCCGGAAGTGACGCGACCACGCTGGGCACACTGAGGGTGGGGCCACGGTCATCTGAGGGAAAACTCTCATGCGCGCGTGCTCCGGGAAACAGCCGGGAGTCCCCCGCTCCAGCTAAAGGTAAGACTTGGCAACCCTAGTCCCCCCCGCAACGTGCCCAACATGATTGCGTCACCTCTGGGTGACGTGTTTACGCCGGTCGTGTCATGTGATTTGGGGGTGGGGTCCCCCTCGGTGGTCCAATCCCCGCCAGTGGGGAACGGGCCTTTCGGGGCGGGGGTTTCCCTGCCCCCCTGGGGGACTTGGCAACCCTTCCCCTTTCTGCTTCCTCCCACCCGGGCTTAACCACTGGGCAGGCGGGGTGGGCCACTGCCACTAGGGTTACCAACCTCCAGATGGGGACTGGAGTTGCCCCAGGATTACAACTGGTCTCCAGACCACAGGGATCAGTCCCCTAAAGGGGGTGGAGTCTCTGGCAGCCTATCCCTGCTGAGTCACCTCCTCAGGCTCCGCCCCCAAATCACCAGGGATTTCCAGACCTGGAGCTGGCAACCCTAAGTCTGCCACCAACCTGGGGGAAATGACAAGGAACAAGTAGCCTCCAGCCACAATTCTTTACGGGTGTGCACCATCTAAATCTGGCCCCAAGGAAAGCATTGTGCAGATTCTTTACACGTGTTAACCAAAAAATTTACTCTGCTTCCATTAGTGAGGGAGGGGACTGAGGTATGCACAGAAGCGGTTCCCGGTTAGGAGCTGGGTGGTGCTGGACAACTCTGGGACATGTCCCATGGTCCACTCAACCACGTATCTTGCACCTACCTCATGGGCCTGTTTAAGCACTGCAGTAAAATCCGACTCGCCAAGGATACCCTGGAGGAGAGAGAAAGGGGGAGAGGAAAGGGTGATGTGCCAAAATCAGGACACTGGCAACAGAAAACATTCCCATCTGCCATCTTTTCCTTTGGCCTCCCATTTAATTGTTGCAGTTACTCCTTTTCAGAAAACTTCCTATGTTTGTCAAACATAACTAGGATTATCATCCATTAAAGAAACCCAAGTCTATTGAGAGTCTGAGTCAATCGCTTCATTGGTTCGACATGAGTATGAGGAAAAAGACCCTACCTGGTGGAACGAGCTCGCAGAGGAGATCAGGGCCCTGCGGGACCTTTTGCAGTTCCGCAGGGCATTGCAAGATGGAGCTCTTCCGCCAGGCATTTAATTATAGCTTTGGATATTATAGCTTTGGAAAAAGTGCAGAAAAGGGCAACTCGAATGATAAAAGGGTTAGAACACTTTCCCTATGAGGAAAGGTTAAAGCGCTTAGGGCTCTTTAGCTTGGAGAAACGACGACTGAAGGGTGACGTGATTGAGGTTTATAAGATTATGCATGGGATAGAGCAGGTAGAGAAAGAGGTACTTTTCTCCCTTTCTCACAATACAAGAACTCGTGGGCACTCCATGAAATTGCTGAGCGGTCGGGTTAGAACGGATAAAAGGAAGCACTTCTTCACCCAAAGAGTGATTAACACATGGAATTCACTGCCACAGGAAGTGGTGGCAGCTACAGCATGGACGGCTTCAAAAGGGAATTAGATAAGCATATGGAGCAGACGTCCATCAGTGGCTATTAGCCACAAGGTATAGATAGGGGCTCTGGGGCAAGTGATGCTCTGTCTTCTTGGTGCTTGGGGGGGCGTCAACAGGGGGAGGGCTTCTAATGTCCTGGCCCCACTGCTGGACCTCCTGATGGCACCTGGTATTTTTGGCCACTGTGTGACAGAGTGTTGGACTGGATGGGCCTTTGGCCTGATCCAACATTGGCGTCTCTTATGTTCTTATGTAATTAGGGGCTGCCGCTACTGCAGACCGCTATTGCAGGCCGTTACTGCAGAGCTCTGGTCTGTGGTTTTAAGATCCAACTGATTATGAGCAGAAACATTGTGGAACATCTGGGCAGTGGAAATTTACTCTGACAAATACCATCTAGGTTAATTTTTAACTGCCGCCAGCACTTTGCATTTATATTGTTTTTATTTGTATGGTTAAATATCTGTGTAATTTTAATGTATTTATGTTTTTATGGAAGCCGCCCTGAGCCCGCTTTGCGGGGAGGGCGGGGTATAAATTTGATAATAAATTAAAAAATAAGCAAAAGAGCAACCGTTTTAAAGAAGCAAAGAATACTCTCTGTTTAGACAACGCATGCCGGTATAGAACCAGATGATATATTAGAAGAGGCATTTTCGCTGTCTCTCTCAGCCAGGATGGAATACCTCTTCTAAGAGGACATTGGCCCTCTGCAGCAGTTAATAAGTCATTGTAAAAATTAATTCCTACGACATTAAAAATATTAATCCATGTTAAAAGATCTCAAGTCTGTGGACATTTCCCCAAGAGTCTCCCGGCAGGAAGAAACCCATGGCCATGGCTGCAGGTCACGGAGGACTCCTGTCTCATGGCTAATAAGACAAAGAGGGTCAGACCCTTGCATTCTGACCGATGCTCACTGTCGTTGGTGGATTATCCATCGCCTCTTGAATTGCTGCCTTCAGCCCCTCTTTCAGCAGGCATGTGAAGTCGTAGAACTCATGGTCATGGTTAATCTCAAAGAAACCCAAAAGCTTCCATTGTTCACGAATTTTCCAGAGGCGCCGAAGCTTTCTTGAACGAGTCCATGTCCCCCTCCTACGCTTGTTTGAGTAGTCAACCTGCGGGAGGGTAGGGGACACAGAATAGGGAAGGTGTTAGAGAAAGGTTCTGGCCTAACCTTTCTACCTCAGCCCCTCCTTTTTCCTGTTACATTTGGAATGTACACTTGAAAGATTCATGATGGAATTCACACCATCCCTCTCTGTCTCAACTCCCTGCTCCCCCCATAAGAAGAATTCCCTGTATGATTTTCCCTGCATGCATCTGAAGAAGTGAACTGTGACTCACAAAAACATATATCAATACTGTTAGTCTTTAAGGCGTTTTATTTTGCAATGGCAGATGTACACAGATATCTCTTTGCAAATCACATACACATTTCACTACTTCAGGTACATGCAGGCAGAGGTCATTTCGGGGGAATCGCGGGGGATCGCAGTTCCCCCGGGTGAGGTACGGGGGGGCACATGACGAAACCCTGCCCCCTGCTTCCGGCCACCCCACTTTCAGCTCTCATTCAGCCAGGAGGAGGC